CCCTAACCCTAACCCTAACCCTAACCCTAATAACCCTAACCCACCCCCGGCCCCCCAACAACTCCACACCGCAAATTTGAAAGATCTTGATGAAAATCAGGCCCGACTGCAAATTTCTTCAAAATTTTCGCAGGCGCTCCGCGCCTGCAGATTTTGAAATAAATTCGATGAAATTGGGGCCTGGGCCAATAAACTGCCAGGGTCCGGGAACCGGGGAAGGTAGGTCGTCCTCCTCGCCCTCGAAAGTAGGGGGTGCACAGCGCCCCAAAATTCACCAGTGTGGGATTTCGCACAATCGCGTGACTCTGAAAAGCTCGCTATGTACCTTTCTGAGCGCTGTGGTCGCCGCAGACTGGCTCCAACTTGACGGCGGCATGGAGGCATCATGCCTCCATGCCACCGTCAAGTCGAAATCGACATACAGCTCGATAGTTTGCCCGAAAAGGTACATAGCGGCGTTTTGGGCGACAACAGCGCTGCGACCGCGAAGTGGCGGTGGACATGCTCCCATGTTGCCGACGCGGCGCCGGAGTGGCCGGCGCTGCTCGCCACGACCACGACGGCTACTCTGATGCTCCGGGCCGACCCGTCCTACCCGACGGTGGCACTCTTCCACGTCTCGCTCACGCTGAGAAAAATTCTGAAACGGCGTGCAGCAGAGTCGCCGACGAGTCGGTCCGCGTGCTTCCTCGTGTCCCGTACCGTTCTCACACATCCATAAACTCACTTTGGCCTCACTGAAGCGATGCCTCAATCCTGAATCCTCAGATTTTAGGACTAGGTCCAGCCCTGGGTGGCGCAGGTTGTGACATTTGGCGATTCCGCGACTTACTGGGCCCCTGAGCCGCTACCCGTGTGCGATTTTTTGTGGCCCGGACATGATACTGATAGTAAACGGGTCAGAACCGGCCAAACACAGGCTACAGCCCCACACACGCGCCCGCCATAGCTCCTGGAGAGCATGCGCGAGTGACGCGCTGCAAGCCGCGAGAGTGGCATCAGAGGCAGGAACGACGTGCTCTTGCTGCACCTCGCAGCTGCACCAAGTGTGCTCGCAGTGTATGCCACGGCCACTGCCTGCGGCATTGCTCTCGTGCAGCTAGGCGATGCAGGTCCATCAGCAGGGCTCATCCAATGCGAGCGCACATTGTGCGTAGCCGCGGGCAGGTGGCAGTGCACAGCCGCACACCGGCTGTGGCGGCTCGAATGCCCCCGGCAGTGCTGCTAGTCATCAACTTGCGTATTAGGGCCGCAGCAGACTGCTGCTGTGGCAGCAGCAGCAGCCTGCTGCTGCCTGATTCAGTCAAGCCAGCGGTGCAGCGAGGCGTGCAGAATTCGCGCGGTTTTGTCCCTCCTGAGGCTGAGCGCATTCGAGCCCGTCGACCGGAGTTGGATGGTACCACGCGTCTCACTGAGACGCGGGGTACTGGCCATGGCCGGGCTACGGAGCGTGAGGTGGCGAGCGGAGCGAGCGACAAAACAACGAGAAAAACACGGATCTGAGGATTGTCACAAAACCTCAGATCTTGCGCCACCCAGGGCTGGACCTAGTCTTAGATTGGGACGCTGTGCACCCCCTATCGAAAGCTGAAAATGGCTATAACTCCGCCGCGTGGTTGTCTTGAGAGACTCACTTGTCGCAACGCGCGTAATGGCGTAAAGCCGTACGTACTCGCGTGTGTGGTTAGCGGGCACACACAAAAGACAGGGAGCCAGCGGACAGCGCGCGAGCGACTCGGCGCACTGCGGGTCTGCGGCCCGGCCGTTGCACACGGCGTGAGCAACACCCAAGCCTCCCCCTCCCCTAAGCCCCCTTCTCACGACCCCCCCGCCCCCGCCCCGCCCCTCACGGCGGCTCGCACACCGGCACGGACCAGATCTGCGAACCGCTGCTCCGGCGCGCCCGCGCGCCATCCGCGAGCGCCACCGCCACGGCCAAGTCGGCCGGCGGCGGCGGGCCCTCCGACGCCGCCCCAACGTCCCCGCAAGCGGCGGCCAGCCGCTCGCCCGGCTGGTTCTCCGGCCTGGGCGGCGCCATCTCGTCGTACGACACCGCGTGCCCCGCCGGCGCGTCGAGCCAGGCGCGCTCCTCCTGCGAGAGCGCCGGCTCCAGATCGCCCGTCAGCGCCACCAGCTCGGC